CTATGTTTATTATGCACAATTCTTTTTTTCCAGTTTATTTTTATTAGTACATGTTTGCATTATATAAAGATTACACTCCTTGTGGGAAGTTGGTACATGTACATAACACATTTCAATTCTTGTCTCATCTCCTTTCCCTCCCCTCCACCCCCCAACTCTTGATCCTCCTCCTATTTCAGAAAGATTTGTTTCTCTACTTCCTATCATCTTTCTTTTATTTTGCTCTTTGTAATTTGGGTTTCTTATGTAAGAGAAACCATGTAATATTTCCTTCTGTATCTTATTTGCTTCACTTAAAATTATGCTTTCAAGATGTATCCATTTTCCTATAAATGACTCAAGTTTATCCTTCTTTATGTGTAAAATACATTTTCTTTATCCATCCATTTATGGACATACAGGCTGCTTTCAAGATTTAGCTATTATGAATTATGTCGCTATAAACATAAGTATTCATGGGTCACTGAAATATGATGTCTTTAACTCTCTCAAGAGGACGACTAGAAGGGGAATAGCTGGGAAATTCTTGTTTTAGCTTTTGAGGACGCTCCACACTGATTACCATAGTGGTTGCACCCGTTTACTTTCCTACCAACAATGTGAAAGGGTTCCTTTCACAAATAGCAGTTGTTACTAAGTGATTTCTTGATAGCCACTCTTTCTGGAGTAGGGTGGAATCTCAGTATTAATCTGCATTTCTGTAATGGCCTGCTAAGTTGAATACTTATTGTACTTTTTCCAAGAAGTGTCTATTTCTGTTTTTTGATTGGATCTTTAATTTGGGCCATCTAATTTTTTTTTTTATTTCTTTATGTATTCTAGACATTAGTCCTCTATCCAAGGAATAGCTGGCTGGTTCTCTTATAGCGCAGAAGCTTTGTAATTGGAAAGGATCCCATTTGTTTATTCTTGGTAGCACATTCTTGGTTATTTCTTAGTTTGCACATTTTTATTTTTATTTGTAGCCAATTCTTTTTGTTTGTTTGTTTGTTTGTTTTGGTACTGGGGATCGAACTCTGGTCCTTGAATTTGTGAGGCAGGTGGCAGCAGCACCACTGAGCTAAATCTCTGGCCCATGTAGCGCACTTCTTAATGGCCGGTACATGGAACCAGCCTAGCTGCCCATAACAACTGAATAAAGAAAATATGGTATATGTGCACAGCATTAAAGTAGAATGAAATTATGTCATATGCAGGAAAATGCATGGAATCCAAGATCATCATTTTAAGAAAATAAGCCAGACTCATAAAGATAAGTATTGCATGTTTCACTGATACATAAAATCTAGAAAAGATGACATAAAAATAGAAGGGTGACTTATTAATGAGAGGAAAGTAATAATGGGAGGGGTATAAAGGAGGTCAATCAGGGGATCAGTATTATCAAAATATATGCATGTATGAAAATACCACATTGAAAACTAATATTTTATGAAATTACTAGGCACTACTAAAAATATATTTTAAAAAGAATGATTCCAATGTTATTTGCATGAACAACTGAAAGGGATTAGAGTTTACCTTAACTGAAATGAGGAAGGCAGCAAATGAAGCTGATTTAGGGTATAGAGGCAGATAAGAATATCAATTTTGGGAATATGTTAAATTTGAGAGGTCAGGTAGGCATTTGAACTGGCACCGTAAACTTAGAAATCATTGGCATATAAATGAAATTCAATGTATATTCATGAACCTGGACAAAAATTGTAAGATAATTAGGCATCAACAGGCAGAAAAGTAGCTGAAAATTATACCTATCTCACAATTTCCCTTGGTGCCAGTGTTTCTGATTGTCCAATTCTCCTGACTTGGTTAAGAACTGAAGCCAATTCTTCTCAGGTTTTTATATATGAATATATTAATATGTAAATTAATATATAAAATTTTAGTCATTCCCTAAGTGTTTCTTTTCCTTTCATTACACTTAATCATTTAAAAGGCAGCTTAAATGGAGAAGTCTGCATTTAGCCTCCTGACTCACTATTTAGTAGTGTTGGTGAAAGTATGACTGAATTAATTTGCCTGCATTATCAAAAATGCCAAATAATTAAATTATATAGAGATATTAAAGAATTATTATTGGAAAGGAATTTTGTTTTGGGTGGGATCTCACTATTGCCCACATTAGTCTCTAACTTCTGTGCTCAGGTGATCCTTCTCTATCAGCCTCATGAATATCTGGGACTAAAGCATGTACCACCATGTCTAACCTTGTAGTGGTTTTTCTTAACCACAGAAGTGATATAACATGATATAGTGTAATAATTTCCTACAAATGAATACATTATTACACCTATGTCTTCTATAATTTTGTCTATTCTATCTTCCAGCTGATTAAGTATTTCTGTTTTTATATTTAGATCTTGGATCCCTTTCTATGGTAGTTTAGAGCATTGTGAGAGAAATGGGTCAGTTTTTGGCATGTGGAAAGCTGGTTTTCACAGTGCCATTTATTAAACAAATTATTTCTCCCAGTGAAGATGTTTGGCCTCTTTGTCAAAGAAACGGTAGCTGAGTACCTTCAGAGTTGTTTCTGCATTTCTGTTTTGCTTCTCTGATCCCCAGGTCTGTTTAGGTTTTGGTTTTTTTTTTTAATTTGTTTGTTTTTATTTTTTGCCAGTGCCATGCTGTTTTTATCATGGTAGCTTTATAGTATAATTTCAGGTTGGGGATTATGATGCTTTCTACCTTGACTTTGTTGTCCAGAATTGCTTTTGCATTTTTAGGTCTCTTCTGGTTCTGTATGAACTTTAGAATTGTTTTCTCTAGTTCTGTGAGGTATACTGTTGATATTTTGATTGGGATTGTATTATATCTGTATAACAGTTTTGGAAGTATGGCCATTTTCACTATATTGTCTCTGCCTAAACAAAAACGGGATATCTTTTCATTTTCAGTTATCTTCTTTGATCTCCTGTTTTCAGAGAACTATAGTTTTCAATGTATAGGTCTTTCACTCCCTTTATTAGATTGATTCCTAAGTATTTCATTTTTCTAGATGCAGTTGTGAAAGGCATAATTTCTGTCTCAGTGAGTTTGTTATTTGTGTAAGGATGCTATTGATTTTTGAGAGTTGTCTTTGTATCCTGCTATGTTGCTGAATCTAGTTATTATAGGAGTCTTTCAGTGAAATTTTTGGGATCTTCTATTATAGCATCATGTCATCAGTAAAATAATAATTTAATTTCCCTTTCTATCCTTATTCCTTTTATTTCTTTTTCTTATCTAATTTATTTCTATCTCTTATCTAATTTCTTTCTTTTATCTAATTTCTCTGGCCAATATCTAAAGAACTATATCAATAGTGGTGATAGCAGGCATACTTGTCTTGTGTTATAGTAAAAACTTTTAATTTTTGTCCATTTAGTATGATATTGGCTGTTGGTTTATCATAAATGGGTTTTATTAGCTTAAGAGAAAGACCGAAAAAACAGAAAGATTAAGCTGGGGATTTAGTTCAGTGGCACTGTGCCTCCCTTGCAAGCACAAGGTCCTGAGTTTGATCCCTGGTATAAAAAAAAAAAAAAAAAGAAAAAGACCTTCTACTCCAATTTTCTGTAGTATATGCATCATGACTGGGTGTTGGACTTTGTCAAATGTTTTTCTGCATCTGTTGAAATGATCATGTAATTTTTATCCTTTGTTTTGTTAATATACTGTATTACATTTATTGATTTGCATATGTTGACCCATCCCTGCATCCCTAGAGTGAATCCTGCTTGTCATAGTGTACTATGTTCTTGATGATTTACTTCATTTTGTTTGCCAGTATCTTCTTGAGGATTTTGCATGTTCTTTAAGGAGATTATCATGTCATTCTCTTTTTTGGTTGAACCCTTCTCTAGTTTTGATATCAGGATAATGCTTGCTTCCAAGAATGACTTTGGGAATATTGCTTCCCTTTCAATTTCATTAAAGGGTTTGAGGAGTAATGATATTAGATCTTCTCTAAAGTTCTTGTACAATTAAGCCATGAATCTGTCAGGACATGAGCTTTTCTTTGTTGGTATTTTGTAACTTCTCTAATTTCATTGACTAATATTGGGTTATTTAGAATTTTTATATCTTCTTGATTCACCTTTGGTAATTCATATGTATCTAGGAATCTTCATTTCTTTTGTGTTGTTAATTTTATTATAGTACAGGTTCTCAAAGTAGGTATTGATTATTTTCTGGATTTCTGCAGGATCCATTGTGATTTCACCCATTTCATTCCTAATTGTGTGGATTTGAGTCTTCCTTTTCTTTTTTTTTAAATAAGGTTGGCTAAGGGTTTGTCCATTTTATTTAATCTTTCAGAGAACCAACTCTGGTTGATTGAGTCTTTGTGTTGTTTTCTTAGTCTCAGCTGCATTAATTTCTGCTCTTATCTTTATAATTTCCTTCTTCCTACATGCTTTAGGTTTAACTTGCTGTTCTTTTTCTAAAAGCTTGAGGTTCAACATTAGGTTATTTATTTGGGCTTGCTCTGTTTTTGTGATGTGGGAATCTCTGCTATAAATTTCCCTCTTAAGACTGCTTTTACTGCATCTCATAGGTTCCAGTATGTCATATTGATATTATCATTTAATTGTAGAAACTGTCTAATTTCTTCATTAATTTCATCTGTGCCCCACTGATTGTTCAAGAGGATATTATTTAATTTCCATGTGTTTATGTAGTTTTGTGATTTCTTTTGCCATTGATTTCCAATTTCATTGCATTATGATTTGATAATATGCATGGGATAATTTCCATTTCTTTACATTTACTTAAGCATGTTTTATGAGCTAGTATATGCTCTATTTTGGAGAAAATCCTCTGTGCTTCTGAGAAGAATGTGTATTCTGTTGTTGTTGGGTAGAACACTCTGCTAATATCTCCTAAGTCTATTTGTTTAAAGTTTCAAGAGCTAAGGATTCTTAACTATCATGTTTAAATATGTTTTGCTGATTTCTTTATCATTTTAGCTTTGGAGTAGACAGTTTTAAAATCTATGTTTATTTGATGTCCCTGTTCAGATAACAAAGAAGAAACCACTTTAAGTGTATACCATGGATGATAGCACAAAGGAGAAGAATGACAATTACAAAGATGATCTTCTGCTTAGGATGGGACTTAATGATAATAAAGCAGGAATGGAAGGGTTAGATAAAGAGAAAATTAATAAAATTATAATGGAAGCCACAAAGGTATGTTTCTTGTTTCTTTTAACATCTATAATTTAGTCACTTTTAAACATTCTGTTCAAAAGAAAATCATTAACCTTTGGATGTCCTTTTTACTAAAACTATGAAAAAGTGTGGAGCACTCTCCCTTCTAACTCTCCCTTCTAGTTTTTTGCCCTTGTTATCCAGTCACAGGCATATAATATGCATATAAAAACAAAGTAATGTACATGTCCATTTTTGCTCTTTCTTTTTTTATCCCATAGCTATGGTGCTTTATTTTTCCAATGCTCAGGATAGAATCTGAGAGCTTGCACACACTGTGCAAATACGCTACTACTGAAATATATTCCCAGTCTCCAAATAATATACAAGTTTTGTTTTAGGATTCTTTTTATAAATGCAACTTTGAGATATTTCTGCATAAGTATTAAATATCTACATCCTTTGTTTTGCTTGCATGTGTGGATAATTTGTTGGTCCTGTCAGAATCTTTATAAACAATATTACTGTAAATTTTCATACATTTATATATGTGTGAGTATAACTGCAGGAGATATTTCTAGAAGTAAAGTTGTTCCACAAAATGAAAGAATATATGCGTATATAATGTGAGTGAATTGTTAAATTGTTGTCAATAGTAGTTGTATCAATTGATATTGCTACCACTATTTGGAATGTATGTATACCAGAGCTGCACCAACAGATTGTATTACTAAATTTTTGCTGCCAAGGGTGACAGAAGTGAAGCATTAACAAACAAATCAGTCAAAAATGAGCAAAAGATATAAACAGAGTTTAGTAAAAAAAAAGACATGCATATGGCTTATAGGCAGATGAAAAGGTGCTCAACTTTGTTAGTCATTAAAGAAACACAAATTTAGAAACTCTGGTGAGATGCTGCTCACATTATTATTATCCAGAATGGCTATAATAAGTGTGATAGACAATCACAAACGTTGGCAGGAGTGTGGAGAAATTGTAGTCCTTATATATGCTGGTGGGATTATATAAAGATTCAGCCGCTGTGGAAAACAACCTGGCAGTTCTCAGAACATTGAACTTGGAGTTACCACGTGACACAGAAAGTCCACTCTTGGGAATATACCCAAGAGGAGTGACAAAGTATGTCCACACAGAAATGTATGCACAGATGTTTATAGCAGCATTTTTTTCATAATAGCCAAAAAGTAAAAATAACCTAATGTGTATCAACCTGATATATGGATAAACACTATGTTCAGTAGCAAAGTTACAGGTAATTTTAAAAGTATCTTCTACATTGTCCTTAATGATTTAATGTAAAATTTTTGAAAATTCATTTATTTTGGTTTGTACTGTGAATTGAACACACTGCATTTGCACTGAGCTACATCCCCAGCTCTTTTTTATATTTTATTTTGAGATAGGGTATTGCTATGCAACTAAGTTGCCCAGGTGAGGCTTGAACTCACGGTCCTCCTGCCTTAGCCTCCCAGAATCCTATGATCATAGGCATGTGTACCAGCTTAAAGATACTTTGTTAAGGAGTAAATTTTAGCAGAGGAGATAACTGATGACTCGACCTACTAAAGCCTTGCATGTGCTCCAAGGATCCTACCTAGAACAGATTGTTCTTTTCTGAATGCAGAAGCTTGTGCTTAGTACTGTTTCACAATTCTATGATTTAGGTAACTATTAGGAAATACATTTTACAAATAATGAAACACTACATAGAAAGAGTAAGAATTTTAGGGTCACTGAGCTAGTAAGTAGTAAAGCTAAGGTTTGAGTTCAGTCAGTCTGATTCCAGAATCTGTCTGCTTAGCCACTAGATTATACTACAAATGGTTGTTTCTTCAGACATTTTTCCTATGCTTTGTTTTCTCATTAGGGGTCAAGATTTTATGAAAATGAGCTCAAGAAGGAAAAACAAGTCAACCAACGAATTAAAAATATGATGCAACAGAAAGCACAAATCACCAACCAGCAGCTAAGGAATGCACAATTGCAGGTATTAATTCAGTTAGAGAGGAAGGTGGTAGTATGGTAATTGGTAGCTAATATGCATTATCAAGTCATAACTGCAAACAAGAAGAAATTGAAATTCAATGTTGTAAAGCATACACATCTACAAATTCACATACTTTAGTATTGATCTGCTCATTTGCATAAAGATTCTGCAACTAGATATTGTTACCTCCATTATATAGAAGAATAAATGGAGTGTTTTGTTATTGTTTTTGTTTTGAGACAGGGTCTTGCTGTATAATTTGGGGTGGCCTTGAACTCACTATGTGGCTCAGGCTGTCCTCGAATTTAGGGTAATCTTCCTGCCTCAGTCTCCCAGATAACCGGAGTTTTAATGAAATAATTTGCCCAGCTTCATAGAATTGGTATTTGGCAATTAGGATTCAACCTAAAACAGATATTCATATATATGGGGCGTGGGTGGGGGTGGGGGTGGGGGAGAAAGACAAAAAAATTCATACACACTAGGAAAAGAAAAAATTTTATAAATACTTTAATACTAAATTTTTTGAGACATCATGACATTAATACAAGTTACCTTTGGCCTTGCTCAAAGTGGTGGCCATTAGCTTCCAGGCATTTACTAATATGACAAACTGTTGCTTGATCATTGAGATTGCTACACAAGCATTTTCAGTTTCTTCTCTAAAGGCCAGCAGGGTAGTAGGTTTTCTGTGATGTACCATATCCTCTGGAGTCCCATATACAAGGTAACACCATCTGTTGAAAAGCATCATAGTATTTTTCTATGTGTATAATGTCACAGTTAGAAAATTCCACAGGATGCATGTGGCATAGTTTCTGTAATGCTGATTTTAAAAAAATAATAATAATCTGAATTTTGACTACTCTGTAGTTATATAGGATAGTGCTATCTTGTTCTTTAAATTTGCATTTCCCTGATGACATGATTTTCAGCAACTTTTCATATAATTACCTGCTACCTATATATCTTCTTTGCTAAGATATCTGTCAAGGTCTTTGGCCTCTTTTTTTTTTTTTTTTTTTTTTTTGTACCGGGGATCGAACTCAGGTCCTTGCGCTTGTGAGGCAGGCGGCAGAACCACTGAGCTAAATCCCTGACCCTGGCCTCCTTTTTTTAAAAAGTGAAACTCACAGTGTAGCCCAGGCTGGCCTTAAACTCAAGATCCTCCTTCTTCAGCCTTCTGAGTGTTGAGATTAGATGTGCACCACCACACTCAGCTTTGACCCATTTTTTAATAAGGTTAGTTTCTCATTGTTGAATTTTAAGAATTCTTTGTATATTTTGGACAATACTTCTTTTCCAGTTATATCTTTCAAAAATATTTTCTCTCAATCTGCAGTTTTTTCTTTACTCTCTTAATAGTGTCTTTTATAGAGAAGACATCTAAAATTTGTTTTAATGTAAGATGTATAGTTTTATTGGTTTTGTTTTTCTTTTTCTGGTACCAGGGATTAAACTCAGGGTCTTGTGCTTTTGAGGCAGGCATGGGGGTGCCACTGAGATAAATCTCGATGTGTAGTTTTTTCTTAAATGGTATTATTTTTTTCCTAAACTAGATTCTCATAGTACTTTGGTTTGTCTCTGGACTCTTTCTTCTTGATTCTTTTCCTGTATCAGTACCATATAATTGTAGTTACTAAAAAGTAAAAATATGGTTTCATATTCTCCCTCACAACTCTTCTTTAAAGCTTTTTAGTTTCTCTTGTATTGTTTCTTTCAAATAAACATTGACATCATTTTCACCAAGTTTTAAAAAAACTTTATGAGAAACAGCATTGTTTTACAATTTGTATTATTCCTTAAGCAATATACTTTCTAGCCACTTCAGTTAAGTTTTATTGATCTATAGTCTACAAATATCTTTAATAAAGTTTTAAAGAAACAGAGGTACATATGAATGGTGATAACTAACAGCATTTTTGCTGTTCATACTCTTCAAAGTCTTTCCTTTTATATACCTACAATCTAGAGTACAAAATGCCTTATATTGCATAACAGAATTTTAAATTTTCTTCCAGTTTTAGTCACATATTTCATGGGAGGCTGTCTGACATCCTTTGCAACAGGAATGGCAGGAAATGTGTTTTATGTTGATTGTTAGATTGTTTCCTTTGTGGAACTTCCTCTAAAAGAAGTTGTATAAACCGAGGAGATTGAGGAAGTTCTAAGTAGTCAAGAAGTTTTGACAGAACAGAGATGTTTTCCTGAGAAATGTGTTTGTATTTTAGAGTCATAAAATTGCCAAGTGCTAGATTCTCCTACGTGTGGTAGGATAATGTGGACTATTGCTGATCGGGCTGAAGCTGGGCTAAGTAACCTCAACAAGCACGAGCACTGTGGATGTTGGTGCAGACCCTCCCTAAGTATCTTCTACTCTACCCTAGCCTTATTAGACTTCCTCTGAGGCAAAATTATTATTACAACTGCCAAAATAGCTTATAATAACAGTAGTTGAGGCTGGATGTGGTGGCGCATGCCTGTAATCCCAGCATTCCGGAGGCTAAGGCAGGAGGATCACTGTGAGTTTGAAGCCAGTATAGGCTACATAGCAAGACCCTGTCTCGAAAAACAAAATAACAACAAATAAAAAACCAGTATTATATAAATTGAATAAACAAACATCCGTGTTATATGAAATGGCAATTATACAGCAAATCTGTACATTTTGACTACTTTAACGGTTGACTTTGTTAACTCAGATTTGTTCAGTAGTCTTTAAGGAAATTCTAAGTCAAGAATTTTTAAAGTAAGTCAAGGATTTTTCAAGTAAATAAGCCATAATAGGAATACAAAATATATCATTAAAATTTGGTTTCAAGGGCTGGGGATTTAGCTCAGTTGTGCTGCACCTGCCTGGTAAGCTCAAGGTCCTGAGTTCAATCCCTGGTACTGGGAGAAACAACTTTTTTTGTTTGTTTGTTTGAACTTATTGCAATGTTAAAGACTTTTAAAAATCTATTTTAGGGAAATATCATAAGGTAATAGAAAGAACATGGGATTTGGAGTAACCTCATTTCCAAGTCTAGCATGACCATTTACCAGGGCAAATTAATCTTACTGAGTTTTTGTTTCCTCATCTATAAAACAGAAGTAATAATTAGGACCTCAGAAATATTTTGGCATTACTTATTTTGAGTTAACGTAGGAAATAGTGTATGACTTGATACATATACTCAGTAAACAACACTTCTTTTAAAATTAGAGGCACTATCTTTAAGCTTTTACTGAATCCCTAGATAAGTGTATTGTATGAGTACATCATTTTGTTTTTCAACCATCTTCTGAGGTTAGTTTAGTCACACTTTACAAATAAGAAGAGTAATGATGAGAGGGAAAGCATTGCTGTCATGTATCTAATGCATTCTGGAACTCAAATCAAGTCCTTTTTCTTAATCCCTGTGACACTCATTGGTCCTCAGCACTAATAAGAAGAACCAGATCCGTGTTACAGACTTAGATCAGAGCTTGAAAGTCATTGGGAGGGAAAATGGAAGAAAGAAAATTGTGAATGAGGACTTCTGTAAAAGGGACTTAAAAATGTGTTGGTGTGTAATCTGGTAGGTGTAAAAAGAGAAGTGTTCAGACAAGGGTGACTAATGACAGTAAGGAAAGTGGAATGTGTGAGTCATGCAGTGGGGAAGTTTCCTTTGGCAACTGCACACTGGCATTAAACACAAGAAAGAGGATAGATTACTGTGAAGAGCCTGTCACAGCGTTGATACATGAGTCTGAGGAGAATGTTTGCTTTCTATATTATCTTCTTTTCTAGATGATTCCAGGCCAAAAAATTTAGGATGCCACTTCCTTATTCTTACTCAATTCATTTCTCAGGTGTATATTATGGATTAATGTAGATTAGTTTTTAGCCAATTCTTGTTTTATTAGTCAGGATGCTATTCTCTAGTTCACAATTAAAGTACTAAAAATAGTTTGAAATCAACATAAAAACTTAGAGTCAAATTGAAAAGTTCCATTTATTAGGTGCAGTATCTTACTGCGAGAAGTTAGCCTTCTCCAAAATTTCTCTAATACTGCTTTATAATGGCTACCGACCTCTCACCCCAACTCTCTTGTGGGGAAAGAGTTAAAGGCTCTTTTGAAGGAAGCTGCAATTTAGTATCTAATATAGTAAGTTTCATAGTAAGAATAGAAAAACAAGGGGAAGTGGGAAGGGTATAAGGGAATAAGGGAAAAGAAAAAAATATGGGAAAATGGAAAAATGGAAATAAAGTGTTTGTAAATAGGAAGTGGAAGAGGGAGTGAAGGGAAGGCAGGGACAAGGGGAAAAAACGAGTACCAAGACCTGTCATGTAAAGGTACAAGATCCCAGTAATGAATGTAACTGTACTGTATACCTAGATGTACCAATAAACTCAATAAAAAGAAAAAAGGCGAAATTAAGTTCTGTGGCATAGAGGACAGGAATCCAATTAAGAGAGGTACATGAGCTGACCCTGAAAGGCATGTGACAGAGGGGAAAGGCACTGTAGGCAGAGGCACAGCCCCAGGAAGGAACAGAGCACCTCAGGTCACTGAATCAATTGTAGGCTAATTGGGATCAGCCCTCTGGAGAGTCTTAATGTGCCTACTGCAGACAAATATGATTCAGTACGATTGCTTATGAAAGAGGATTTACAATTTTTACCTACAGCTGGTAGGCAGCTACTGTCACACCAAGGCTAAGAAGGAAGCCTATGATAAAAGACTTCTGCAAAGTGGAGGCCAGGTTGAAGTCCAGCATGGAGAAAAAGGCCACATTACACCTTTGTGGAAACTTGCTGTCAGGATCTCTATGTAATGGAAGTTGCTTTCTTTCCAGAGATTGCCCCACTTACTTATTTTTAGCTGTTCTTCCCTAGGTATTTGATTGCTCTGTTACATTGCTATCCACTGATCCTTTGGGTAATACACAGAATTTATTGAATTTATACTGTGTGCCAAGCACTCATCCATGCTCTTTACATTCTCATTTAATAGCTTTCTTCTCTTAAGATTTTACTTTAATGGTCTCAGCAACTTCCTTACGTGTTGTAGAGACCAAAGCTGTCAACAGCTTTGGACACTCTTTCTTTCTCCCTCTCTCTCTCTCTTTCTTCTTGTCTGTCTATCTGTCTGTCTGTCTGCTTAAAACCTAACATGGGTCCTTTATACTGAGCTACATCTCTGGCTTCTTTTTTGGGGGTTACCTGGGATTGAACTCAGGACCTTATGCTCACAAGGCAGGCATGGTGCCACTGAGCTAAATCCCCAGCCCCCCAGCTCCTTTAAAAAAATTTTTTTTTGTTTTGAGATAGGTTCTTTCTAAGTTGCCCAAGCAAGATTTGCAACATCATGCCTCAGCCTCTCATAGCATTGAGATTACAGGCATGCACCACCATATCTAGCTAAAAATTCTTTAAAAATTAAGATTCATCATGGTTACATTTGATATACTTATTGAAATCAAGAAGTATGAATTACAGCTTTAAGTTTTCAATTTTTATTTGTATAGACTACCATTTATCAAGTTTTAGTATTATAAAATCAATTTTACAAAGGAAGTATTCATGCTTCAGCATGTTTGGTTGTACATTACTATTCAGTGTAACACCGTATGCCAGAGACATATAATCTCTTTTTTTGTACATTTGGTGCTATTTTAAGACAGTAACATTATGGGTCAAATGGGAGTTATTTTACTTAAACTGAAACTTTTGGGTATAGTCAATTGCCTGAATTTAAAAGCAATAGAATCATTTGATATAAGCAGAAATAGTTCATTCATAAGTAATTAAGTCCTATTACATGCCTGGAAGTATGGATAGAAGAGTTGTTAGGGTATGATACCTAAGAAAGGGTATATTTGTGAAAATTTAAAAACAAAAGGAGTTAGCAGCCTTAATAGACAACAATAAATTATACATCCACAGATCCCATTGAACAACAAAATACACATCCCTAAATGAGTAGCTATATGGATGGACAGGACAGATACGTAGTGTATTAAAATCCATGCTATAATTAATGATGATTAAATATTGTGTTATCTACAAAACTTTAATTTTTAAAAATTAAGGTTGACAGATTTGCAGTGGAAATAGAACACCGCCGAGATTTGAACAATACCATAGTGCACGTTGACATGGATGCTTTCTATGCTGCTGTAGAAATGAGGGACAATCCAGAACTGAAGGATAAACCCATTGCTGTCGGATCAATGAGTATGTTGGTAAGTTGGTAAAGATCAAGAACAAAACGCGCATTTGGTAACATATTTGACTAAGCCTGCTGGTTCATGAAGGGAGAGCCTTTATTGAGGTCTACCAGTTTTCTGGTTGTCTTATATATGCTGTTACTGCATCTTTACAACATACCTTCAGGTACTAATTTTTAATTCCACTTGACAAAAAAGAAAACAAGTATAGAGAGATTATTAATAACTTGCCCAGAGTTATAAACCTGTTAAAATGGTAGAATGAGGCTGTGGCTTTCCACTGCAAATTAAATTTTTAATAAGCATCCTAGTTAAAGGGAGTTGAAGAAAGGGAAATGTCTTTGTAATTAGGGAAGGGTGAAGAGGGTGAAGGGAGGGCAGGGGTATGGGGTGAAAAATAAGAACCAAGATATATCATGTAAAGGTACAAGATCTCAATGATAAATGTAACTTGTTTGCTTTAAATGTATCGATAAATTTAATGGGGAAAAAAAAGAAAGGGAAATATTATTCTGAAGCACAGATTTTTCAAACTATAGCCTGGGGCCTTTTTTTGTAAATAAATTTTATTGGCCCAAACATATAGCCATTTATGCATTTATTTATTGGTATTATTGCACTAAACAAGCAGAATTGAGCAATTGCAAAAGCAATATGATCTCATACTAAGATTATTTGCTATCTGGATTTTTGTAGAAAATACTTGCAAAGCCTAGTATTAGTCTGACATAGTTTATTAATGTAGTACATTTAGTGCAATTAAATAATTTTTCCTATAACTCAGTCTTTGCTTTTCTGATTGCTGTGTTGCTTCCTTTTTGTTGTGCTAACCCTAGAAGGTAAGCATGACCAGGATAGCTGTATAGGGCTGAAAATCTTTTGGGAATTCAAAGTAGAAACTAGAATAGATGGTAATACTAAAAAAAAAAAAAAAAAAAAAAATAAAAAAAAAAATACTATAGAAATTCTTTCCTATTGCTGACTCCTCCAGTGCCTTAGACAGCTATAAACCTAAGGTTTACTGAGTTATTATTTTATTATAAATCTATAATCCAGTTGTTCTTTATCTCCTCTTCAATGAATATTCAGACAACTGACAAGTTTGGTTCTAAAATAGTGTCTACTGAAAGGATACTTACTACCTTTTCCTATGAGTCACCAAAAATTTTTGGAAAAGGATATTTAATTCTATAAAGAAGATATAATACTCTATCATGTATATATTTATATATGTGTATATATACATACACATATACTGTATTCATGTTAGAACTAAGCCATTGTTGTTGAAATCCATAAAGTATTTTCTTTCTGATAATTTCTGTCCTCCTCAAAATTGGTTAATGTTTCCAAATTCAAAATTATTATTTGTTATATTTAAGCAAAGATTACTCCCTTTGTATATGAATAAGAGAATTCCCTTCTAATGAGATTTGAAGCATGGCTATTTTTATTATAGTAGACTCATAAAAATATACAAATTATTGGGTGTGATGATATATTTGATTAATTAAGTCTGTTGTACATAAAATTCTTTTTTGGTGAATTTGATGAATTTATGAAATGTTTTGAGTTGTCCCTGAGACCAGGAACTTAGACCTGGCAGCAGTTTCTGTTGCAGTATAAGAAACCTTTCACTAGCTGACCATGAACTTTCTCATGCTTCTGTAATCCTAGCAGAGTTCTGTGGGAATAGTTCAACTCCACTCTACCTGGACTGCAGATTGGAGGCCAGTCTAGGCAGTTTAGAAAGACGAAAAAGGGGCTGATGTGTGTAGGACTAGAGAGTGAGTTCCGTAGATTCTATCTCTGTCCAGAAAGAACAACAACAACAACAACAACAACAACAACAACAAACACCTAAAAATATATTCTGGCTATGATTTGAGGTCTACTATACAAACTCAAAAGTTAGAGGAATTCATACATAAAAATTTTTCTGCTTTACTGTATATCTAACTTTCACATCAATTCCATTAAGCTTGTTTATATTTAAAGCATTGGTTTGTTTTTCTAGTACTGTCTACATTTTCCTTTCTAGAATGCTGACCAAGAATTAGCAAAGCTTTGAGTACTATCAAGAGTTTTAAAATGACTTTTGAAAACCATTAAAGGAAACTTGATATTATTCTGATATATTTCCTTCAGTAGATAGATTCTGTTTTGCATGTCTTTGAATTTCAAATAAGAATTCCATTTAGGTTTTTGTTTTTGTGTTTGTTTTTAAATTGCGAGATAGGGTCTTACTAAGTCACTAAGTTGTCCAGGCTGGGCTTGAATGTGGGATCCTCCTGCTTCAGCTTCCCAGTGTGTCACCATGCCGAGCTTGTGATTAAAATTTTTAGATAAATGGTACTATGGTCCGTGACATTGACATAGACTATCGTCAAGTATCAGCACCAATATGCTTCAGTAAGTAATACTCATTTTAATTCTCATACTTTAAAAATATTTTTTATCCTCTAATCAAAAAACTTTGAAAATTTAAGAAATATAACATAAAATTTGAAGTTCTGGTTAAGCTGCAATCATTTTTTTTTTTGATACTTAGTTTAGCCAGATATTAGACCTTTGACTTTTTATTCAAGGTAAAAATGTTTCAAAATTCCAAATAGCAAAAATTCTAAAGGTATATTTTAGATTAAGCATCCTTTGTTCCTAAGGATAGTTAACCTATATTATGCTATGTTATAATTTTCTAAACTGTTACTCTGTGTAACAGCTATACTGTTAGCACAGCGATATTGCTTTATTATTCTGTTGTACTCTACACTATCCTTTTACTTTCATGTAACATCATTTGCTGTTTTCTAGATCTGGATATATACTGTAAGTATGTCTTAAAGCCAGTCAAGTTTAGTTACTGGAAATATGAAAGAATATTTTTATCAGTGCAGTCTTACTTCTCAGCTGGTATCACCTTATAAATAGAGGGAGGAACAGCAGTGAGTGAAGGTCACAGTGTCATAGTACCATAAAGTCAAAATGTGGTTCAAGACAGTATTCCATAAAAGAAATGCCCTGGAATTGAAAATGCACATCAGTAATGTGTTTCTTATGAATGCATTGATCAATATGTCCATTTAGGTTTGTTTATTTTTCCCCTGTGGCCAATTCTTTTTCAGTCTACTTCAAATTACCATGCAAGGAGGTTTGGTGTACGTGCAGCCATGCCAGGATTTATTGCTAAGAGACTCTGCCCACATCTCATTATAGTGCCCCCAAACTTTGACAAATACAGAGCCGTGAGTGAGGAGGTAAGTTTATGTCCCCCTATTTCTATCTGCTCACTGGTTTCCTCTCACATCTCCAGAGTCAACTCCAAATGCCTTAGCACATCAGGATTTGGTCTTACCATATCCTGCTGGCCTCACCTTCAACTATTTCTTCAGCTTGCATATTCAGTACTGGGCTGTTCACAACACCTGCAATACACAATTCTGTTTTCCACTAAACAGAAAAATTTTCCAAGTATTTTTCATCTGCTTAGAAAACTCATGTCCCAAAACTTTGAATAGCTGTAATTATAACATAAAATTAACTGTAGCTATTCTTTCTTGTGGAAAATACACTTTTATTCTGGAGCTACCTAATATTTGTAATTTAAAGAATCTACTTGTCATTGGTTTCAGTGTCTTCTGATTAAACTTTTTATCAGTATTTTTATGCAATGACAAAAATTACTTATTTTGGTTACCTGCTCCTCTTTCCCTACAGTCTTGTGAAGGCAATAAGCAGTAAAGGTCTTAAGAGACTGGTAATCAAAGAGGGAAGGAAATAATCCATTGTTTTGAAAAGGAGCTCTGAAATGTAAAGATATGATTATTTACTAAAATCCCAAACTTTTTCATGTGAAAACTGCCATTTTCTCTATTTTTGATGATAACAGACCTGTTGTACAATGGTGGGATTTAGTTCTTGAATTAAAGTTTGAGAGTACCACATCTACATTGCTTTTTGATTGCCATAGTAAAATGCATTGTGTTAAAGATTGCTGTGTGTAGTACCTGCCTGTAATTTCAGCTAATTGAGAGGCTGAGGCAGGAAGATTGCAAGTTTAAATCTGTCTTGGGTGACTTTAAATTAACAAGAACCAGTCTAAAAAAGGACTGGGGATGTTGCCTGGTGGCAGAGCACCCCTGATTTCCAAAAGCAAAGCAAAGCTACCATATGATTGGCAACACTTGCAAAATTATAATTTGCTTCTTATTTCTATTGAGACATTCACATGATCATCAAATTCACTGCATTTATTTATTTATCTATCTATCTATCTATCTATCTATCTATCTATCTATCTATCTATCTATCGGTACTTGGGATTGAATTTAGGACCTTGTGCTTATGAGGTGGGCAGCAGAACCACTGAGCTAAATCCCTGGCCCCACTGCTTTTAATTTTTATGCTACCTCATTTCCGCTAGAAATGATCCTCCACTCCAAATTTTAAAACTGTCATCTTTATTTTTTAAAGCAAGTTCATTGTGCCTACTTCTAAAAGGTTGGTAGGGGAAGGGGAAACATACATTTGCTAACTATGGATTGTTTTTACTATATTCCTGATTAAAAAGAGAGAAAATGCTAAACATGAAATATAGACCTTTAATAAATAAAAAATCCTACAAAAGCCAAGCATGGTGACAGATGCTGATAATCTCAGTACTCTGGGAAGCTAAAACAGGAGGATCAAAAGTTCAAGCCCAGCCTAGGCAATTTAACAACTTAATGAAACCCTGTCTCAAAATAAAAAAATAAGAATTAAATTGTTTTTAGTCATCTTTAGTCTTTTTATTTACATAAGTTGGGGAAAAATCTTCAAATTTTCAACAATCTCTAGGTAGTTAATTTGCAGGTAACAAAATATGTGTAAATTAACAGACACATTAATATTTTTGACTTGATTAGAAAACTTGAAGATCCATTTTTTTTGTTTGTTTTATCATAAATATTGAAACAGCTTTAGCTGTCCTGGAGCTTTCAGGGCTTTGTTTTGACTGGAACATGTCAATCTGAGTTGCTACAGCAGTGTCCTGTGGATAGGAGTTTGTAAGGACTACTCAGCAGCATTTACAGGGAATGCTTTTCATTCAGAATCTTAGTGGGATGCCACTACAGACTCAAAGTTTCATTTTCACTAGGAAGATACTGAGTATGTATAAAAGTGGTTTCTCCTACAAGAACACAGCTATTTAAGGCACTCACTGTGTAAAATTATGCCAAGTTTTATATCACCATTTTCTAAAATTCCTCTTTACTCAGCTGTTCATAATTATATTGAGCTAAAATACTTTCCTTTTATAAAACAAAGTTTTCTCATGATGCAGAAGACAGGTTTTAAGTGATAGAAAAGTAAAATATAATTCAGCCAGTATGTCTTATAATATATATATTATTTTGGTAAACATTCCCTCTACTGCTAGTAATTTGGTCAAAAAACAAACAACTACCACCATATAAACCTTCACAGTTTAATGTAATAAAAGTATCTTCTATAAAAGAGATTTCTGGATTATAGTAACTATAATTTTAATCTTTGTATTTTTTATGCCACTATGCTCTCCAGACTTTCCTCCATCACTTAATGTAACCATACAATTACATAGATTTTGTCATCTTTTCTATTCCAGATTCCAAGAAATAGTAGAGCTGCATTTTCTTTATGGATACATGCATTAATATGAATGTTTAGGGGAGCTTTATGTGCATCTTATAGTTAACGGAAACAACTGCTTTTTAAAGCAACATGGTACCTTTGCATAAAATTATTCTTTTTCCTTTTAAAAATGAACAAAAACCATCATAAAAGATGAGACAGAATAGGATCTCATCATTCCCACTTCTACTTTTGACTAGATACCTAAAACCTCAACTATCTTTTTTCTGTGCCTACGAGAATGATGTTTTCTGAATTTTATTTGAATTGCTTTTTATATCTAGATGTAGTTGGCTAAATAGAGACTGCATCAAATGGTGCTATTTCACACTCTTCTGCCTTCATGATCTGTTTTTTTTTCACAATATATTACAGATTTTATTTGTATAACATTTCCTTGAACAAAACTGGGTCTGATTCTGGTTTTAGCAACAATGTCAAGGAGTTTAGGATACAGCTAAATGGTACAGCAAAGTTTGACATGAATGAGTCCCTGAGTTCAATCTGATTAAAAAAAAAAATAGTAGTAACCCAAGTATCTCTTCAGAAGTTGCTCATTGAATTTTCTGTAGAGAAGAAACCTGATAATTTAAACTTGTAAAACCTCTGTAGTCTATTTCTCTATTCTCAGTGACACCATCTATCACAATGTTTTTGTATTTTCATTTCCTATGATATAGTTTAAATAATACAGACTTTTCTCCTTAGCTACATGATCAACTGATTCATGCTTTCTTCCTCTCATATATTTCAATAATAGTGTTTTACATTAAAATAATAATTTAGTGAAATTTGCTTTTTACTTTACAATTTTATGGATCTTAATGCGTGTATGGACTCAGATAACTACCCTCAAAATCAAGATACAGAGTAGTTGCATCAAACTTCAAAACATACACATACAACTACTTCCACTAATAATTCCTGTTATCCATTACTGTAACTTTGCCTTTTTAATAATGTAACAACATGGCAATAATTGCTTCATTAATTTGGTGCAAAGCTTTTAAGTCTGATCTTATATCTGAGTATCAGCAATTTGTTCTTTATTGCTCAGTAGTATTCCACTGCATAAAGGTATCGGTTTGCTTAGTGATTCACTCACTGAACAGTATTTGAGCTATTTCCAATATTTGACAGGTATACTTAGAACTACTCGAAGCATATGTATACAATTCTTTGTGTAAACATTAAGTTTTCATTTATCTAGGACTGGGACTCTGAATCATACAATAAATATCTGCTTAATTTTGTAAGGAACATCCTACAAACCATTTTCCAGGCATGATCTATTTTAATGCAAAAGAAAGACTGACAAATAGGCACTGGTGGTAAATTATTCATTCCTTAAATCTGTGAACTATTGATTGCAGGATCATTACTGTAGTTGCAAATAAGAATATTACTGTTTCTTCTCAGCTGTGTATGACTGGAGGTTTTTGCTGTGGCAGCAAAATATAACCCTTTTTTGTTCCTTTTGAAGGTTAAGGAAATACTTGCCGATTATGATCCCAATTTTATGGCCATGAGTCTTGATGAAGCCTACTTGAATATAACAAAGCATTTACAGGAAAGACAAACTTGGCCTGAAGAAAAAAGAAGTTATTTCATCAAAACTGGAAACCTGGCAAAATATGGTAAGCAGTTTGTTAGAATTAGCAAAATAAAAACAATGAAAAAGAAAAACAACCCCTGAATTAACCCAATTAACTCACTAGCATATGTAGATGGTAGAACAAGATGTGTCTTTATAAAAATGAAAAATCAGAAAGTTAAAATACATTGAGCAGGTATTTTAGTTAAATGCGTAGAATATCACTTTTGTATATATATATGTATATATATATGTATACATATATATATACATATATATATTGTTTGTTTATTGGTACTGGGGATTGAACTCAGAACCTTGTGTTTGTGAGGTAGGCGCAGTGCCACTGAGCTAAATCCCTGACCCTAGAATATCACTTTTAAACAAATGTTAAATCTTCAGGCTTTGAGACTATGTAGTCACTAGACAGTAATGTTGTGTCAATTACTTTCTTTCAACTATAGCTTCAAAGGGTTTAGATTGTGCTGCAGCTGAGAAGTTCTTTATTTAAATCTTTTTTGTGATGTTGATAAAAGTTAGATTTTAAAAAAGATTAACCTCAAACATACCAAAACATTGGGTGATTTTATTTTTCTTCATTTCCCAAGTTTTCTATAATCTGACTCTAGTACAGCATTTATAACAGTTTTCAATACTTCCAAAATGAATGCCTTCCTTTTTCCTTCTTTGTCTTGGGCCTCATTATTACACACAGTGAAACAGAAGTTTCATAACTCCATAAGTTTTTCAAACAGTTCCTCTATTAGGTAACCAAAGCAATGCCAAGAAACATGCAGATATTACATGTACTGCTGCCAAATTTTTGCCAAAGATATGATTACTTAAAGTGCCTGAAATGTCCTTTGAGCACAGTTCATCTGAATGAAAAGGTGACCCAGAGGGGTTTGCCCACCACTCACAGCCACATTTTGTGTGTGTAACATGGCTGCTTCAGAGCAGCCGAGCAGTGATGGAATTTGTAACTTTCCCTGAAGCAAAATGGTGGCCACAATGGCATGAAATTCTGAGTCCCTCCATTGTTTGGAGTTCACATCATTTGGAGCAAGGTTAATCTAGAATTGAATTACAAATTCATTACTTTATTTAACACTCAAAGGGGTAGGTCTCTCCCTTTTTCTTTAATAGAAACATTAAACAATAATTGGGGGGGTACTGGGGTTTAGAACTTGGGTCCTTACTCTTGCAAGGCAGGCAGTGGAACCACTGAGCTAAATCCTCTGCCCTTAATAATTATTTCTAGACATAAATGCTTGGAGCAAGATATTTTTCATCTTTGTTATAGTCTTGTTGTTTGGGGATGTGGCACTTGAAGCTTGATGTCACTTTGCTTCAAATCTCACTTGTTTCTTTCTTAGTTTTCATTAGGGAAGAGGGGCAGAAATCATTAAATGATTCCAACAAAGCATTCCCTGATGGCAGCTCCCCCCCTACACTCCTCCTCCTCCCCCTCTCCCTCCCTGTCCTCCTCGTCCTCTGTATAGGACTTGGGGATTGAATCCTGGGCCTTCACACTGAGCCACATCCCCAGACCTTTTTCATTTTATTTTATTTTTAAATTTGGGGACAGGATTTTCCTAAATTCCCCAGTCCAGAATCCAACTTTGGATCCTACTGCCTCAGCCTCCCAGTGTGCTGGGATTACAGGCTTGTACCACCATGCCCAGTTTCCTGTGGGCTTTTATAACTATTACTTTTACTCTGTTTTTTTAAAAAAAAATTTACATTGGGCTTAAGGTAAATGTTTTCATCCTCTACTGAAGTCCTAATTTATTACATGTCTAAACTCACTATGAGGATGTGACTTCTTAGTTTCTGTTATCTTTAATATATTTATTTGTACATTGCCCTTTCAATGCCTTTCATATTCTTAAGTGATTGAAGTAAGTTGACTTTTTCCTCCCTCATCTATAAATTCCTGTATGGCACATTTTCAGGGCCATCCAATCTCACAACAATGTGTTAGAGGTATGACAAGTGATTGAGATATCTTTCTTTAAAGTCAGACATTTTTGTACTGCTTGCTCCTTTTCTAAAAGGTGCTTCTCTTTTAAAATTTATTGCTAACTACCTTATCTACTTAAAAATAAAGTAGTGATTGTCATTTAATGTTTACTCTGCCATATTCGGATGGTGAGTACTAGGCTGTGTAAAAAACTGAAATAGCACACATTCTTTTAAGTACTTGCAATGTGAACGAAATGCTTTAATCCTGTTATTGTACTCTGATTACTTCAGTCATGGGGATTATAAAACTTTTTCAGTCTGGAAACAAATGAGGGGGCTGGTAGAGTGCTTTCCTGGCTTGGACGGGCCAGGTCCTGAGTGTTGTACTCAGCCAGTGGGGCAGCGGACGCCAGAGGAGCAGCCTTTCAGTGTTCTGTATTCTTACTGCCTGCTGAGTTGCTCTGAATTTTAAAAATGGAGTATGAGAAGGAGAAGGAAATGAAGCACATAAGTAGCAGCTCTGTAAGTTTGAAAACAAGTCTTATTGTGCATGTGGCCTGAGAATGCAGATTTGGAAAACATCTGTCTGTAACTGAATTCATATTACACACTTTAAAATGTGAAATTAATCCAGTGTTTGTTATACTTTTACTTTATCTTTTAAAAAGTTTTCTGAAAGACTAAGTTCATTTTTCAAATAGTATACCTTCATATGCGTCTTGAAGCTAATTGAAGAAACTTATAATTTGGAAAACTTTTAATAGATTTTGTTCATGAGGCTGTTTTAAGAATCATTATGGATTTCATTTTTTTCTTTTTTCAAGCAAAACATCTATTGGTACATTTTTGATGTATACTGATAACATCATAGGGAATATAGATGTCAGTGTATTTTGTAGCTCATTTAAAAAATACAAATAAAATGAGGTGATAACAGATATGTATTTTTAGTTTATAAGCTATTGGTAATAGTTTCTTTGCCTTAAACTTGTATCTTGGCTGATCCAGTCAGACCTTAAGACATTTTATTTAAAAAAGCATAACTTTCAGAGGCAACTTCTATTTATTGCAAATACAATAAAAATGATATTTTATAAGTAAGTCAAAATTAAAATCAGCATTTGAAAAAGAAAACAGATTAACTTTTGAAGTTTGTTCTATGAATGAAAAAAATGAAACTTATTTTTCAGGTATAATTATTTTATATTGTTTAAGACTTTCCCCCCTCACATTCCTAAATCATAACTTATTTTAATAAGGGTCTTTTTTATTTATTGTGATGAATAAAGGAGCAAAAATTTCATTTTTTAAAAAATGTAGTGGCTTTCAAAAGTTAATGTGTTTTATATAGGATATTTCTTTTTTTTAATATGAAAAATATGAAAAAGGGCAATATTCTTTTAAGAAAAACCTGGACAATGTTTTCTTTTCTTTTTTTTAATGTTTTCTTTATTAAATAGTTACATGACATAAGTCTAGTGCTTCTGATCTTGGTTCTTAACAACAAAACTAAATTAAATTTGTTTTGTCTTCAGAAATAATGTGGGGGGGAAATAGGAATCTAAAGAAATAAAACCTAAGGAAACCTCACTTAAGGAGTATGTAACTTAAAATAAAGATAAGTTACTGTTCTTATTTGCAATTTAGATGAACCAGGAAAGGAAGTTCATGAGCTGAGTGAGTCTGACTGGTCCATCTCTCCACTACTTTTTGAAGACAGTCCTCCTGATTTGCAGCCCCCAGGAAATCCTTCCCAAGTGAACTCTGAAGAACAAAACAATCTTCAAATACTGCAGAACTCAGTTGTTTTTGGAACCTCAGCTAAGGAAGTGGTAAAGGAAATTCGGTTCAGAATTGAACAAAAAACAACACTAACAGCCAGTGCAGGTATTTAAAAGACTGTTAATGGTCACTGTGGTTAAAATTTCCAGGCTGCCTTGTTCAAGTGTAATATTAGTAGCTTCTCGTTTTAAAGGATGTATGATCATTTTACTTAACTACTCTTTGATCTTCTAACAACTTTAACTATTTAGAATAGCTGAATATACAAGTAATTTTGAATTTAGAAAAGCCTATGAGTGCGGGGGGGCACACTATAATATATCTCATGTAGTTATCATTTTGTAACCTCAAGTATATTTTAATTGGTTTTGTACAGAATGATTGATTAGTTTTTCTTTGGACAACTTCAGTCTTGTCCTAGATTAAATTGTAGGAGAGTACCCAGAAAGCATCAAAGTAAGGAACCTTTCTGCAAAATAAGCCAGGTGTGGTGTTACACACTTGTAATCCCAGCACTCTGGGAGGCTGAGACAAGAGGATCATAAGTTTGAATACAGCCTGGGCAACTTAGCGACTTAGAAAACCTGTCTCATAATAGAAATAGAAAAGGATCTGAGGATGTAGCTCAGTGCAGATCCTGGGTTTAGTCTCCACTACCACATATGGAAAAGCAAAAACAAGGACCAGGGATTTAGCTCAGTGATTCTGCTGCCTGCCTCACAAATGCAAGGTCCCGAGTTTGATCCCTGGTACCAAAGTAAATAACTAAATAAATAAATAAATAAATAAATAAATAAATAAATAAATAAAAACAAAAAACCAAACAAACCAGAAAATGCAAACAAATCCCCAGCTAGCACCATAGCAATTTAGAACTGTGTAATAAAAGGCAAAAATAGCTTTTCCTATGTCAATAAGGGCATCATTACATCTTAGTATAATAATTGATATTCATCATGAGGATCCTGCCTTATGCTGTAAAAGCTGTATTATGATTAGGTTAATCTTTTCTATACCAAAGCATGAGAATTGAATAATAAATTTTAGGAAGATAGGCATAAAAATTCATCTGATCTGTTTAATGAATATATTTGTGTGTACCTATTTCAAATTACCTTAATCATTAAGACTCCTAGAAATTATAAAACACCTTTCTGAGAAGCAATAATCTGCTTTGTGAATAACACAAAGGATGAAAAATTTTTTTATCAATGTCTCAAATATACTGCAACCCAGAATCTTTGATTTTCTTACTTTATAAGAGTAATTTATAGGACTGGGGATTTGGCTCAGTAGTTCCACCACCTTCCTCGCAAGCACAAGGGCCCGAGTTCGATTTCTGGTACCAAAAAAAAAAAAGAGCATTTTATACAAAAAAACCGTTTTCAAAGAGTAAACATCTATCCTAAACTATATTTTGGATCTTTTCTAAAAAGTAGATACAAAGCCATTGCAAATAACCCTGTATTTATTCTAAAGGTAGTTAAGTAAACTAGTAATACTTAATATTACTCAGCCCAGAAATTACTCTTAGATTTTAAAATATCCTGAAGAATTAAATATTCTTCATTTCTCCTTCTATAACTAACACAATTCCTTCCCTGAAAGACCTGGAGAGATAGATGGTAGTTATATATTATCTTTAAAGTAGCATTATGCATAATTTCATATTATTTGTGTTTAAACATTTTTTATCATCACATCATTAAAAGTCATACATATCAACTTCTTGAAGTCATTACAGTGTTCTTATTTTAAGGCATTGCTCCCAACACAATGTTAGCAAAAGTGTGCAGTGATAAGAATAAACCAAATGGACAATACCAAATTCTCCCTGACCGACAAGCTGTGATGGACTTCATCAAAGACTTACCCATTAGAAAGGTGAGATTTTATATAAAATGTAGCATTTGAATATTTACTTTGAATTCTAAAGAGAAGCTAAGCTGATGATAATTGCTCTTTGCTGAAAAGTTTTAAAACACTAGGCAACAAGCAAGAACTATAATGGGTGATTGAATAGGAACTTGAAAAAAATTTTTCTGTGAAATCCTTAAAGTAAGGTTTGTGAAGCTTATTTGCAGGAAATTTTTAAGAAAATAATAGATGATAGACTTTTAAGTGGACTCTTGCCAAGGAGAAAAGAAATGAAAGTATACTAGAAGGAGTACTTTCAACTCTAACTTAATGCTGTCTTGGTCCTCAAGTCTAGAACACTAACAGATTAATAGATATGATACTTTAAAGACATTTAGAATTTTTATTGTTTTTGACAAAATGAAGATTACAGTACCAGCTTTAAAATGATAAAATTATCCCTCAGAGATTCAGAATGAGATATATTTCATTATTCTTTAGAGCTAGATTTTTTTCTGCATATATCACTTTTTTTTACAGTAACTGCACTATACACTATATGATGGTCTAAGACTTTAATTTATTCATACACATGAATTTAAATGAAGAATTTTTGAATGCTCAGAAAAAGGGCTTCATCGGTGAATACAATTTATATAATTACTGGATAATATATATAAGATGAAGCTGTAAAATAATGTTTTCTAATATGTTTTTCAAGGTACAAATGGATATACAATTTAAAAAGGCTCTGAGGGCTGGGGATTTAGCGGTTCAGTGGCCTGCCTTGCAAGCACAAGGAACCGAGTTCAATCGCCAGTACCAAAAAAACAAAACAAAACAAAAAAGGCTCTGAGATCAAATAGCTTTAGAGTCTACCAGCCTTGGGTGGGTTACTATGTATATGTTAGTATATTAAAGAGTCATAAATCTTAGAGTAAAAAGTTCTTCTTACATTTGGTTACCCTACCATTCCCTACGTTTTTATGCCCACAGAACTCCTTTTTTAATGTCTTTAAAACTTTAATAGAATGGTACTTAATGAAATGTGATGAAAAAGTAATAAACACAGTTTTCTTACATGACTTATGAAGATTCATTATCCATACTTTTCACTGATTGAAAGAACTATAAGATTATAATCTCAGTTCTGACAGTTTTTTAAAACCTACTTATAATACCTATTGATTTTCTTCTAGGTTTCTGGAATAGGAAAAGTTACAGAGAAAATGTTAAAGGCCCTTGGAATCATTACTTGTACAGAACTCTACCAACAGAGGGCATTACTTTCTCTCCTTTTCTCTGAAACATCTTGGCATTATTTCCTTCATATTTCTCTGGGTCTGGGTTCAACCCACCTGGCAAGGTATTTTCATTTATAGTCATTCTGTTTTTCTTTTATCATTTGCTGCAATATCAATTTTAGCCATTGAGATCAATACTATAAAAATAAAATGTTAAATATAATGTTTGGACTAAAGTCAGCAGATTGGATATGAATAAGAAGGGAAAAAGGGAATAACAGTCAATCAATCCTAGATTGTTGACTTCAGTAGTTGGGTAATGGGCAGGAGGAACAATAGTTATTTCCTTTTCTATTTCTTCCTTGTTCTTTTTTCAAAACATCAGAGAAACACAGGTTATTAGGTTATTAAGGGAAGAAAGATGGCTTGTATTCCACAATTCACTCTTTAAACAAGGAGACATAAGGATTATTTGAAAGACTTAGTGAACTAACTATATTTCTTTTCCAAATGTATAGATGATTTATTTACGTAACACTGAACATTCTGTGTTAGACACTCCTCTAGTCACAAGGAATAGTAACTGTGAGGAGGACAAAGGATAGGAAATAACCAAGTAAATAAATAAGAAAGTAAAGCAGAATGAGGGCATAGAAAGTGTGCGGGGTGGCTGAGGTCATATAGAGGCAGAGTTCTGAGGGAACCAGCCTTGCAAGGTCTAGAAAAAGAAACAGGTAAAGAAAACGCCCTGGGTTTTCTTTCAGTCACTTTGTCTCATGTAGTTTGGTTTGTTTTTTGGGTTTTTTGGGGTGTTTTGTTGTTTTGGTACTGGGCATGGAACTCGGAATACACGGCATCATCTAGTTTTTAAAAAGAGGTAACTTGTAGCTGGAAGGGAAAACTCTTGGAGATAAATGAAAAGAAGGGAATTAAAAAGAATGGGAATCATGAATATCCACTCTTGAGTTCTATTTTTACAATTTTGTTATCATCCTATCAGCTTTCCCTCAAAATGACTTCTTTACATTTTTGCGCTTAAAGGACAACAATAAAATCACAGAGAATACCTATAAAATTGGTTAAACACCTATGCCTGCTAAATCTGACAGAGATTGCAAGGCATGTATTACCAATCTCATCTCTTTTTGCCCTTCATTCTTTTGAGTGAACAGTTATAAGAGTTTGATCTTGAATGGATATAGTGAAACATAAAAACATCACAGCACTATAATCTAGTGTTTAAGGAAAACAGGAAACGGAACTTTTTTAAATCTAAAAGTTCTTTTTTATTTCCATAATGCTTGAAAGTAATATAGTTAGTTGATCTTAGAGTCTTGAATGGATATAGTGAAACATAAAAACATCACAGCACTATAATCTAGTGTTTAAGGAAAACAGGAAACGGAACTTTTTTAAATCTAAAAGTTCTTTTTTATTTCCATAATGCTTGAAAGTAATATAGTTAGTTCTGATGTTAGAGAGAAGGTAAAGCTTTTAAGAGAAGTTTATATGTAATTTGTGATAATATAAAATAGAAGGTCATCTTTCTCCCAGTCCATATTCTCTGCTCGCCTACTCTGCTTTGTTTTTTTTTTTTAATTTGAGTATTATTTCTCTTCTAACACATTCTGTATTTATTGCTATATTTGTTTTATCTGTTTTGTTCCATTGGAATGTCTCTTAAGGGCAGGCATGTGGTCTTTTCATTTCTCTAAACTCTAGTTTTAGAACAGTGTTTTGAGTCATAAAATGTTCACTGAATATTTGAAAAATGAATAATCTCCCTATCATTTCAACTTTTTCATTGCAGTTACCCTATCAAAAAATCTAGGACACAGCCAAACTAGTTGGTTCAGGTTTCTAATCTTCACCCAACTTCTAAGATCCAAATTCTTACTGAGGTTTTAGAATACTATACATGAATAGTGAATTGGCTTATAGGTGACAGAAGTTAAATATAGTAGCCCCAAAACTAGACAATTGAAATTAAAGTTTTAAAAATTTGATTATATCTTATAATTGTAAACTGTTACAGTACTACCTCTTCTTAGTTTTTTTTTTTTTTTTTTTTTTTTTTTTTATTGATTTTATTGGTACATTTAGGGAAACAG